GACACATAAGCATGCAAAAACTCCCCCACACTTAAAATCGAACAATGTCCCCATTGTCGATCGTCAATGTGAAGAAAGTTTATCCACAACATCAACCAACTCAAAATCACAAACTCAATGAAGAGAAAAGGGTGTGCAAACCAAAAGTTCCTCGAGGAGACATAGCATTCACGTGCAAGTCCTTCGCCCATGCTCTAATCCTCGATAGATATATCCTGCCCAAAGAAACCACAAAAACTCCAAACCTCCCATTATTCAAAGATAAAAGAAAAAGCATAAGAGAAAATGAACAAGAAAGCAGTAAATATCACTTGGGTTGCCTCCCAAGAAGCGCTTGTTTAACGTCATTAGCTTGACGAACCTTGTGGGAAACTCAGCCAGGATCTAGAAAGAAGTGACGATCGTGCCACGCCTTTGTATTCTCGAGAAGTGGCAGTGCTGGCACCAAGGCCAGAAGGCGGGCATGGTGGGTTCGGGTGGCTATATTCTGAAGAAAACGGGTTCGGGCCCGAGCAATGCCCAATTCCAGACGTAGAGCTTTTCCAACACGAGCTCTATCGTCAACCTCTGGAAGTATAAGCTCATCTGTGGAGCAAAGAACTGAATCCACCCCACTTCGTAATGCAGTGTAAGGGCCTGGAAGATGGATGCTCCAACTCGGAGGTGGGAAGAGAGACATGAGAATCAAGCCCGTGGGTCTTCTCCTCTGAAATAAAATCAATGTCTCGCTCGAGCTCGTCATCTTCTTCTTCGGCCTCACACATTTGCTTCATCGTGCGGGCTTGAGTATCAAGCATCCAGTGGGGGTCGTCGGCTTGTGCCTCGGTTGAGTCGATATGTGCTGTAAGGATCTCCATTTTCGTGCTCAGTCTAGCACATCCGAGCTCAATGTCCACATCTCGGGTGGTCAAGGCAGATATGCGAGCAAGGATAAGGTCGAGCTTTTCATCGAATGACAAAGCACCCTCCCGAGGCCCATCTCTATTTGTCGATTCACCTTTAACGGTGGGCTCGGGAGTGACATTGATAACTCGATCCTCTAATGCTTGCACGCGCTCCACAAGTTCCTCGATTCTGGACTCAAGGTTGCTCCAACGGGCTACTTGGGATGCCAAAAGAGTGAGGACCTGGTCGAGCTTGGCATTGTACTCTGAGGAATCCTCGAGGAACTCACATGACTGCTCAACAGGCCCAAAATCCCACTGTTGCTCGTAAGGATTTGACCAAGTCTGGCCATAGTCCCAGGAATCGTAGAATGGAGGTGGTTGGTTCAATTGGGCACACTGGGTTGCGGTCTCTTCTTCCTGAGCTAACCGGGATGACGCGAATTCATAGATACAGTCGAGCTTCTCGTTGAACTCGTGGGACTCATAATATTGCTCGACCGGGGAAGGGTCCCAGTACTGCTCTGAAGGGTATGAAAATGACTGGTAGTGATGCCCGGTGGAATAGCTCGGCTCGATACCCCAAGATTGGGTGTGCAAATAGGGGAACACACTGTTATAGCTCATAATACCTGCACACCAGAACAGAAAAACCACGCGTAGCCACGAAAAGAC